ATTATTATTATTATTATTATTATTATTATTATTATTATTATTATTATCATCATCATCATTCTGAAATTGTTTTCTCCTTCATTGTTTGCATTTGTATTGTTTTAGTCTTTGGAATAGAAAACCAAGCATCTCTATGAAGAAAATAATAATCTGTTTAATAATAAATTTGTTTTTATTTCACAGAAATAGGAAATGTCTATGGAACGCCATACCACCTTTCTCCAGAGAAGTCCATTGTGGTAAGAGAATATGATTTTATCCTGCTTCTGACCATGCTAAATGAGGGTGAAGAGAAACTAGTAAATTGTATCATACCCGAAGAGATGATGCAAAGATGAAAGTTATATTCCCACTTCTTCCATTACAATGAAAGGAAGTTCAGACTGTCTTCCTTAGGAATTAACATAGAGATTATATTATTTCTTGGGTATCCAGCCCAATTTTTCTCATTTTCTTCTCTCTTTCCCCTAGGAGAGGCAAAGCTGGTATATTCTGGTTTGCCTCCTGATATAGGAGAAAGCTACTAGGCAGCAATTAATATTTCATTATCAATTTAGTAGTCTACATTCAGGAATCTCCTGGAAACTTATTTGATAACAATCACATATATTGTTTATATTTTGATTTGTCTTTTGGCATTTAAGTCCTATTACCAATTTTCATGTGTCTATTGTATTATTAGTAATACATTTAATATTAAGTATGTTTGTTGACTTTTTTCTACATTTATTCCTTATGTTTGTAAATTGTTCATTTAATCTTTCAGGAAATTAACTCACCATAAAAATCATTCTAGGAAATTGGATACTTAATTATCTATTATGTACTTATAATTAGTATAGATAAACACTAGGCTTAATATCGTTTTAGTTTGCTGTTATTAACTAAGAATATCTCCCAGTGGAATAACCTGCGTCCCAATGCTATCCAGATGTCTTTGGACTGCATTGTTGCAACTATAGTTTGTTTAATTAACAAACAGGGCAGAGTTATTCTGCTGTGCAGCTGTAGGATTTGTACAGTATCTGTACTGTACAAGTGCTGTTTAGTCTGCCAGTGGCAATTGGTTGCTTACAACCACTCGCTATAAATGTCTATTCATTCTTCATTCGCATATTATGACAATTACATGATCCCAAAGTCTATATAATTTTTTTTGTAATTTTTTTGTTTTTTTGTGTATATAAATTTTTGTCCACATCCATACAATTGGCCATGTAAATTATTATAGCACTGGTAGAGAGGGCCCAAAGTTCAATAAAAATCCTCAATAAAAATTCAACAAAACTTGAATTTTAGAATAAGGCATAAGTGCTTAGCTTGTGAAAATGTAACCCCAAATGTAGTATGAGACAAGGCATAAGGCACAAATAGGAAAGGTTTGCATATATTAGAGCTAAAAATGGATCCCACAAATGGACACTCACTGGAAGAAGTTATGGAATGTGTAGAAATGTGGTTAGCCTTATGTACATGTTAGGAATAGTTTTGCTGAATACAGATAGTCTTTGATTTACAGCAATAATGGAGCCTGCCCATTAAGGTGTGGAGGTGATGGCCATTAAATGAACCACCTCGTTTAATGATCCCCATCCCTGCTCTCCCTAATGCAACATTAAACAAATATGCAAGTTGTTAAAGTTGGTTCTGGACCACAGACATGCTGTCTAGGGATATCAAGGGATGGGGCAGCTTACTCTCATTCCCAGTGCAATCTGCAGAGCTTCCAGAAAAAGGTGAGTGTGAAAAGATAAATGAGCAATTGGTGATGGAAACAGGGAGGAATGTGTGTGGGACCTGTTGGCATGGCAAAGCAGGCCCAGTGACAATGGGGACCAAGCTGGATGGGATGGATGGGGAGTTGTTAGGGATATACCCCTAGCAAGAATCTGCAGGGCAGTCAGGCAGGCAGGCAAAATATGTGAGATAAGTGTT